CCCCAAAACCCCAAAACCCCAAAACCCCAAAACCCCTAATGAAAATTCTAAGGAAATTTTAGATTGACCATGTATATAGGATATTAAAATAGCATTTAATCAAACACTTGCTGATGAGAATGTCTACAAATTGTAGTTAATGATATCTTTGTAACTGGTGATGGGAGTCCACTAAAAGTCGTTGCAGTTCATTTTCTAGCAAGAACAGTTATCTACTCCACCAAACACATAAATGTGGTTATTGAAATAAGTTGCACTATGCAAGAACCTAGCATAGGGCATTGGCGCTAGCTTTATAAATTGCAATGTTTCCAGATTCAGGATCATTGCATCCTTGGTCCCAGCACTGTTGTCATGTCCACCTAAGATCACAACTTCATTCTGTGATATCAAAGTAGCAGTTTCAGCTTCCACAGAAAGTGGAAATTTCACTGGCAAGACCGTCCAATGATCATTAGTCACATCGTATTGTTCTATCGAATCTATTCTTCCACTTCCTTCGTATCCCCCAAACACATAGATGTAGGAGTCTTCAAACACAATCGCTGGAGAAGTGCATCTCTTTTAGTTAAGCTTTGCTATTTTCTCCCATCTGTTAAGATTAATAGAGTATCTTTCACAAGCATCTAAAACTCCATTAATTGACCTACCACCCAAACCATAAACATAGTTAGATTGATGTGCTAATGAGTGTGTGTATCTTGATTATATCAGCTATGCCTTCTCAGTACAACTTTCATTTTCAGTGTTAAATAAGAATACTGCTCCAGACACATTAGTGAAAGAGGAATTAAGTCCTCCAGTGATAAGAATGCAACCGTCATTCAAGCCAATAGCTACAGAGTAGGATTGCAGTATGAGATTTGATGGGACCTAACAGAAATTAAGTAAGAGAATGACAATAAGATAATATATTACCTCTTTTTTGCCCCATGAATCCTTGTAAAAGTCATACTGCAAAATAAGATCCTAATTATTAGAATCCCCAAAGAAGAAATTTTTAGAGCAAGTCTTGAACTTATTGCTGAAGAACTTGTAGGTGTTTCTATTGGAAAACTAGACAATTGGGTATTTGAGATTCCCAATTCCCTCGAACATTTAATTGACAACTATATCACTTATTCATTCTAATGCTTACTTTGTGGATTAAGTCCAACAGTGCAATGCTTAAACTAGTGGAATGGTGAATCATACTATCTGTTAATAGTGACGAATTCTTCTTCAAGTCTCTCTAGTTTGCTTTCACTTTAATTACTATTCTTAACCAGACCCTGCACCTTCTTATTCAGTTTATCAAGGTTGTTTTTTCTCCTTTCAATATTTTTCTATGCCTCCATCAGGAATATCTCCTACTTCTTGTAGTGATGCTTCACTGCCTTCGCCAGAGTATCCTTCCTGTTCTTAAGCATTTCGATCAGTAGTTCTAGTTTCTCATCCAGCTCCTACAGAGTGTTCTCCTTCGTAGTCTAAATTCAAAATTGACTTTAGCTTTTATAACTTACCTTGAGCTAGTCTGAGATTTCATTGAGTTCCTCTTCAAACATGTTGGTCTCGCTTTGAGAGGCATCTATTTTCTTAATAAGTATCTGGGACTTCTTGGTGAAGTTGTGAAGCACCTGCTACTCATTCTTCTCACTAATTCTATGGCTCTAGTGGTCAGAAACGATGCACTTCGAGCACACATTAATCTGATCATTGTCGCAAAAGTACTTAGTCTTTTTCTAAGGATGCTTAAGACAGTATTTCTCAGATTGGTTGTCTTCTGCTGTAAAGTTCTGGTCCAGCTAGTCCTTATGCTAGTACATATAATCTACACACCCACATTAAATTTCAAATAATTACCTAGAATGGTAAAGTTTTTAATAAGTTATTTGACATCAGGCGCGAAGTATTTGCGGCAAGTAGGGCAAGTCAGTATGTTTGAGGTTCTTAAGTCCATGAGGCAGTTCTGGCAGAAGGTATGCCCGCACTGCAGGATCCTAGGGATCTTGTCCTTGTCATTGTACTGATCAAAACATATAGGGCAAGTGATATCCATTTTAATTTTTGGCAGAGTTATTTGTTAATATTTTGGAAATTTCGAAATTTAATTAGAGAGCTTAAATAATCATCTATCAAATTAGCATTACTAATTAGTCTAATTTATTATTAATTGAAAATGAAAGTGTACAGACATGCCTCACAGATTCTTGAGGAGATCGAGAGAAACAATAAGGGCTTCAAAACTGCCTTCTATGATTATCATGAAAGAAATGAGCGTTCAATAGGGTCTTAGTTGAATAGAATATACTCAGTATCGATAAATACATACAAGAGGATAAATGACATCAAATCAGCAATTGATTAATTATTCAGCAAGGAGACTGTCAAGGATTACTATATGCTGGTAGTCTTAATACATGAGGGTGCTATTATGGACGAAAAGATAAAGATAGGTGGGAAGCTAAGTAAAATGGTAAAGATCAATAAAATTGAATTACAGGGAATACTTGGAGTAAATACTGAAAAAGACAATAAAAATGAAGTCATTTATGTTAGACCTAATGCTCACATAGAATAAGTAATTATCAATCAATCTGAGGGTTTAATTAGACTTTGACTCTGAAAGAAGTGAAGAGCCAGTTAAATGAGGAGGGATTTTCTGTTAAAAAGGTTGGGAAATTGAACTTACTTAGAGTGAACTAAACTAAGAACAAGACTTTAGTAACTCATGAACTATTCAAGTCTCACTAATATGTGATCCAAGTAAGAGATTATTCTGACTTATTAAATTTAATAGGATATTTCCAGTTGCTTACCAGTGATATACCTTGAGGCCTACTTGAAATCCAAATACAGAGAAGGCAAGATTAAAGACATGCAGGCTATTGACTCAACTTCTTCCCCAGGGAATAAATCTCTCTAGCTGAGTGAATTAATAGGTAATTTGATCGTCTAATTATCCAGGCTAGCTTAATAGTTTTGAGCTTGATCAAAGACGCTTTGGAGTTCTGGATCGAAGAGTGAAGGAATGCAAGGCTGAGAACATTCACTGCATCAACATGGACTTCCTGGAAAGTAATCCAGAAACCTATGAGGACGTGAGTGTGATCTTATGTGATCCATCCTGCTCAGGAAGTGGGATGAAGCTTCATGCCAAAGATGAATAAGAGTGCACATTAGGTCTAGAGACACCAGAGGAAACTAAGCTGAGAGCCAAAAACCTGAGTAAATTCTAATTCAAGATAGTTTCGCATGCCCTTTAATTCCCCTCAGCTCAGCATGTAGTATACTCAACCTGTTCTATCTACCAAGAGGAAAACGAATGGGTAGTAAATGATCTGCTGAAAATGCATGGCAAAAATTGGAAAACAGTCGACTTGAAGGACTTAGACATTGGAATATCGAGGAGATACTTGAAAGGCTTTCACTTTAATGAAGGCAAGAGCGGTAACTCACTCAGAATATGTTCTACCTGTGGACCTAGGAATTATCTCAATGGCTTTTTCTTGACTATATTTGAGAGAGTTAACTATTGATATAAGGAATGGATAGATAGAATTCCGAGTTATGGCTAATCTTAATTAAAACCTAATTAATATTAAAATATAATTTATAAAACTTGCTTCAAATGTCGCATTTATAAGCTCAAAATGGGCGTAAGAGGCTGCTGCAGAAGGGAAGCATGATAATCCAGGACAGCCCAAAGAACCACATCATTCTAAACTTCCCTGAACAACCTTTAAGACAATATAGAGCTACTTCAGCTTACAGTGTGGATAGTCCTAACAAAACTCACAGAGTTCAGTACTCGTCATTTTAAAAGATGAAGCTAGAGGATCTATAGTGTGAATTCAAAACCAACAATGACTAGCTCATTCATGAAATCGGAGGGTCCAGCAATAAAGCCAACCCCTGGCAGTTTCTAGCCAAGTAGATCATCCGTCCAGATGTCGGCACTTAGAAGATTGATGGCTATATCCAGCAGATTAAAGACATCAAACATCAAATTAAGGTAGAAAACTTTGGCATTAGATCAAAAAGGAAAAAGAAAAATGCAAATATTCGGTTTTTTACACCCATCCAGTCTAGCAGCCCTCCAAGAGTGGACAATTCTAAACCCAAGTTGTTTCAAATCCGTTCAAACTCAAAGCGCAAACTACAGAAGAGGAGCACAGCTAATATAAGCACGACAGAAATTACTCAGCCTGGATCACCCTCAGATAGATTAAATAGACCTTTAAGACTAGAAAGGGATGAAAAAGGGGGATTCGATTAGAGTTCAATACATTGCTACCAGACAGAGAGATTTCAATTGTCAACACCTATGAAAAAACCAAAGAGAAAGGAATTAGATGAGGTGTTTGAAAACCAGACTCATCTGCTGGTCAAAAATAGGGAAAGACTTTCAGCTTTGAAAACTGGACTTAAGGAGATTGAAAACCGTTATGAGAATAACTAAAAAATACTCCACCACGCTAAAATAAGTTATTCCAGGTTTAATAAAAGAAGGATTAGCGACCCATCTAGTACTATCTAAAATGAGATAAGTGGATACGATAAGTATTACTAAGAGCTGACTCCATCTATGAGGAAGTCCAAGAAAATCCTCTTTGCCATAAATCGTTCAAAGAATCATCACAACCATTAAAGCCATCAGAATTTCGGTTAGCTAAACTAGCAGAAGCAGTCATTTGATCATCCTGACAATCATTTAAAGATCCCTCCCTAATCAGCACCAATTGAGAAGCATAAGTATCATCCTTCTACAAGAGACTAAACAAAGTCCTCGAACGCCTCAATGAATATGCAGATATCAAGAACGCCCAATTAGAGTTCTAAACAATTCAAGCTTCCATATAAGTTTGATCAGTCTGAGATAAGCCAATTCGATAGTCCCATGAGAAATCTACGTATACCGCACCAGACTTAAGCAGGGCATTTGGCTAAAATGGTTGAGAGACTTAAAAATGCAAAATTGAAGAGAAAGTAGGTGGAAGGTAGCTGGGTACACCTGAATAAATTAGACATATACCAAATAAAGCTTTAACATTGGAAAGATAACTTATTTAGAAACTCTGAAAATGAGGGGATTATTGATCTTGGGATACTTGGCTTAAGAGGTGCTTATCATAATAAAAGCGCACTGGATAATACCTAAAATTTTGACATAAATTCTACTTTTGGACTGGCATCTCCTTTATCTGATGATAAAATAGATCTGTTTGAAGCCCTTGAGATCTCGCAACCTAAGATCAATTGAAATGAATATAGTAACCTTAAGGGTCAGATGCATCAATAATTGTGAATATTTAATAGTATACAGGATTGATTCGCAATAGCTGAATTTTAATTTAATAAGAATGTGTTTGAAGTTATTACTAGTTAATGCATATGAAGATTATACATATAATTAAACTTAATAATGGCAACTCATAAATTGGATAGTATTTCTTATTATATGCAGCAATACTCTTTGCAAGATGGTGTTGCATTCTCAGCCATATCTATTGATCCTAGTTTTGTTCCATGTTGACCACTGATATATCAGAAATCCAAATAAGAATAGGAATACAAGCATCAAGAATCCAAGTGATATCCATTAGCAGATGTTCATTTTTGGCTTATATTCTTGAGTCTCAAAGTCAGTCTATCCAGAAAATCTTTTTAATCCGCTAGTAGTAATGTCAGAGGAGATCATAGAGTTTTGCTGAATGTGATTTAAATCTTATGTCGATCTGTTCTTTTTGTTTTTGTATTGCATTTTATTTTAATATTCCAAATTTTATTATATTATATCTCTAATTAATTGACTCATTAGCTTGATGGGGTTTTGGGGTTTTGGGGTTTTGGGG